AGATCTGTGAATTATGCCATTAGTATTTTAATAAGGATTGCATTGAATCTGTAGATTGCTTTGGGTAGCATGGACATTTCAATGATGTTAATTCTTCCAATCCATGAACATGGTATCTGCTTCTACTTGTTTGTTCCTCTATTTCTTTTTTCAGTGTTCTAGTTTTCTGAGTACAGGTCTTTTACCTCCTTGGTTAAGTTTATGCCTAAGTATATTATTATTTTGTTGTTGCAATGGTAAGTGGGATTTTTAAATTAGTTTCTCTTTGGGAGTTTACTATTGGTGTATAAAAATGCCATTGTTTTCTGGGTGTTAATTTTGTATCTTACTGTTTTGCCAAATTCATTCATTAAATACAGCATTTTTTTGGTGGAGTCTTTAGGGTTTTCTATGTACAATATGTCATCTGCTAATAATGAGTTTTACTTCCTCCTTCCCAATTTGAATGCCTTTGATTTTTTTCTTCTTGAAAGCAGATATCCCTGTCCTGTTCCTGATCTTAAGGGAAATGCTTTTAAGTTTTTGCCCATTGAGTATGATGTTGGTTGTAGGTTTGTCATATATGGCCTTTATAATGTTGAGGTATGATCCCTCTATTCCCACTTTGCTGAGAGTCTTTATCATAAGTGGGTGCTGGATTTTGTCAATGCCTTTTCTATGTCTGTTGATATGACCATGTGATGTATATTTGATTTGTAAATATTGTATCAGTCTTGCATACCCAGAATAAATCCCTGTTGGTCATAGTATATAATCTTTTAAAAAATATATTGTTGGACCCAATTTGCTAATATTTTGTTGAGTATTTTAGCATCTAAGTTCATCAGGGATTTTGGCCTGTAATTTTCTTTCTTTGTAGTGTCTTTATCTGGTTTTGGAATTAGGATAATGTTGGCCTTATAAAAAGAGCTTGGAAGTCTCTTGAATTTTTTTCTAATAGTTTGGGAGGATAGGTGTTAGTTCTTCTTTGAATGTTTGGTAAAACGCACCTGTTAAGCCATCTAGTCCAGGGCTTTTTTTTTTTGCTGGGAGTATTTTGATTACTGCTTCAATTTCACTAGTTGTTATCGGCCTATTCAGATTTTCTGATTCTTCCTGATTGAGTTTTGGAAGATTGTATGTTTCTAGGAATTTTTTCATTTCACCCAGGTTGTCGAATTTGTTGGCATATAGTTGTTCATAATATTTTCTTGCAGTAAGAATCATTTATTGAAGGTTAAGGTGTAACTCAATGGTTATCAACTGGCAGGGACTGTGGCCCCTCACCCCCACCCCAGAAGACTTTTGGCCATATCTGGAGATATTTTTGGTTGTCACACTTGGGTGGCTGCTACTGTCCAGAGTTGCTGTAAATACCCTGGGGTCAGAAGGTCTAATATTAATTAATTAATTAATTCTCACATCCATCCAGCCATCTTCCCATCTATCCTCCCATCCATCCATCCACAAGTTCCCTGGGTATGGCAGGCAGAGAATGGTAAGTGCTGGAGACCGAGCTGTGAGCAACAAGTGTCTGCCCTCATCCAGCTGATGTGAGAAGAGGAGACATAATACACCGAGGTCTATGCCGAGGAAACAAGAGCAGGGGAGACCTGGTGATGGGTCGGGAGTGAGCTACCCCAGGGAGAAGGGAGTGGCCTCTCTGGTGAGATGCCATTTGAACCGTGCCTGGTGAAGAGCGGAAGATATCTGAGATGGGAGGTGGGAACTTGCTTGGCGTGTTCAAGGGACCACAGGCAGCAAAACACTCAGATGTGAGAAGCTCCATCAGGTGGGAACCTCGAGGAGGTGAAGCAGATGCCTGCCCTCTGACTTGGCCCTGGGCTCCCTCAGTGCCATTGCCCGAGGCTCCTGGGTCCGGTCCTTCCTCTGTGCCCCTTGCCCTGGCCCAGAACCTCTGCCCATCCCCTTGCCTGCGGTCTACCCTCATGGCCCACCTCCCACCCTGCAGGTCTGAGCCCACCCCTTTCAACACCCTGTAGACTCCCAGTACCCGAGGAGCTAATTCTCAAGTCCTCGTGCCCAGCCTGGACCCTGAGCGTCTTCCTATGCCCGCCACCCTCTGCACGGCTTCAGCCTCTGTACTGAGCCACAGCGCCCCCTCCAGGGGCAGCCACAACCCATGCCCATGCTCATGCTATTCCCGCAGGCGAGGTCTTTCCACCTCGTCTCTTCCCATCAATTTCTGATTCATCCACGTTGACCTAAAATGCTACCTCCTCCATGAAGCCCACCTGGTTGGAATCTGAGTCTTTGCCCTGTGCCTTCACATCATGTCATTTTACCTTCATGGTTATGAACCATGAACTAAGCAAAGCAGGTCTCATCATTCCTGCTCCATGTGTGGGTGGCACAGAGAGGTTCAGTGACTTTCCAAAGTCACACAGCTCCTTCGAGCCTCCTGGTAGTCCCATGCTTTCCTGAGACTCCAGACTCATCCTCCCCACATTCACATTGCTTAGAAGAGCTTTAGATTTTTCTAGAAAATGTTAATGGGAGAAAAAAAGGGGACATATGTTCAACAATAAAGGTAAAAAATAAAATGTTGAGTGTGGGTTCCCGGGCTGGGCTGTTTTGCTGTGGAACGGTCATATGTGAGAGACGAGGAACGAGGGGCTCCCTGCTCGCTCTTGGCCCGCCACACCCTGGGCCCTCTTCCTAGAACTTTCTAAATCAACAAAGATCACTTTGCAAGTGGGAAGGGCTGTCGTCAGCCTCTCGTCCTAAGGAGCTGCTGCGTCGGGCGCTGGTTGCTGGGGGCCGTGACTGAGCAGAGCGCCGGGCCCCTTGGCCAGCTCCCAAACGCTGCCCTTGACCCAGTCTGTTCCCGGCCGACCGCAGAGGCAGCACCACGAGGCCCGACTCGCCGAGAGCCACACCTGCTTCATTCCCTCAGAGCAGCTCTCGACTCGAATCGAGCTGTGATGGTGGGGACGTCAGGCTGCTGGTGGCTCCTGAGGCCACCCTGCGTGAGCTCGGCGCTGTCTGCACGCCTCGCTTCCCTCCCGCCGTGAGGAAGGGACAGCACCACCCCACCCGGCAGACCTGCACCCCGAGTCGGGGATCTGACTCCGGCCCGATAGCAGCGTCCGGAGGCCGGGCCCTCCCTGCGGCCTGACTGCGTCTGCTCCGGGCTCAGGAAAGGGAGAGCGAGCTTTGCTCTGCGGTCCTGGGTCGCTAAAACCAAAAAGCCATGATGGTCACGGATGTTGAAGCCACGCGACTGTCCCCTCAGCAAACCTGAAGGTCAGTCGTGCTCCTTGGTGGTCACAGCATCCAGGATGACACGCGTCGGTCGAGGGAACAGATGGCAAAGCCACAGCGGCCGTCTTCCTGGGCGGAGGCGAGCCCCCGGCCCCGGTGTGGGATACAGGGCCGAGGCACCTCGGGTGGCATCTGACAGGTTGAGGGAAGGGAGGTGCTTCCCTGGAACGGGCCGGAACTGACCACACCGGCCCTGAGTGTCTGCAGGTCCACACGGCGCGTGCCGTGGCCTCGTCCTGGCTGAGCACCTCCTCCTGGAAGCCTCGGAGGTGAGGGGTTCCGAGTTGGAGGCACAAGGGCCCGCGGGGCAGCAGCAGCTCGGGGTGTGTGTGTGTGCGCGCGCGCATGCGTGTGTGTGTGTGTGTGTGTCGGGTACTGAGGCCGTCATGCTTGGAAATCCCCCACAACTGAAGATGCTCTTCCAGCTCATGAAACTCCCGTGTAGGTCCCAACACTGGGCCAGGCGCCGGGATGCAGCCGAGAACAAGGGAGAATCTTTCATGGTCATTACACCCACGCCTGGGTCCTGCCCGCCCCACCGCAGCCCCCAGGCCCCTTCCCTGCTGTGACCTGTCCCAGTTGCCCTTTTATGTCCAGCTCCCTGCCTCCAGGAAATGTCAATTTTACAAAACACCACACCCACCCCTCCCTCCTGGAGCATCTGGGGAAGGGGAGGAGGACCTTAACCCGCAGGCGTCACCAGGGGCTGGCAGCCCCGGAGATGGTGCCTGGACCTTACAGACTGCCCCCTGGTGGCCAAGACTGGACGTGTCGGCGAGGACCTGGGAAGGGACCTTGGCGAGCCCTGAGGGCTGCCTAAGAAGTGCCTCAAAATTCTATTTTCCACCTAATTCACCACATGGGTGTCCACACCCGAGGGGCTCACCAGAGGCCACAAGTGTCAGCAGACTCTGCCCGAGCTTCTGACGGTACCGTCAGGGGCAGAGGCGGGTGTGCAGCAGGTGGTGCCCATGGCCAGTCCGCGCCTGGGAAACAGACCTGTGCGGCTGACAAGGCCTTTCTCCAGTGTAACTACTACCCATTCAGACGCGTCTTGGCGTTTACTTTCCCATTCGCAGTTCATGAATGTACCCACTGAAGCCGGCTTCCCCAACAGCCCGCTGCTCTGAGACCAGCAGAGATGGCACCTGGGTTCCTGCTGCCCAGTCCCCCCCCCACCCCCCTGGCCCCCTTCTCACCCATGACCCAGAGTGTGGGGCCCTGCAGCTGGCTGCCCCTCCTCCGCTCCCCCTCGGGGTCTGGGTGCGAGCAGGGCCACGTGAGCCAGGGCAGCACACGGGGGGCAGGAAGGGGCAGGGCAGGAGGAACCCGGGAGGAGGAGGCCGTGCACAGGCCACACACCTGGCGGGTGCCCACCCATCAGCGGGGTGGGGTGATGGCGGGGGGGAAGGACCTGGGAGAGGTGCCTTGGTCCCAGTGCACCCACCCTGGGGCCCATTCTGCGGGTGGGGAGCCTCGTGCAGGTCGAGTATCTCAAGTCGGCAGGTTGGAGTGTCTCCCGAGAACAAGTGTACTCACCTCCCTCCCAGAGCCGACGTGGACCTTTCCAGAAGCTGTTTTGAAAGGTGAGCAGCTGCCGGCAACAGCTGAGGGCACCAGATGCCCCCTCCGCCCTTCCCCACCCCGGGGGACCCAGGTAGGGCCAACAGCCAACACCCCACCCGCCCCCAGGAACGAGACACAGGCCACGGGCTCACCACCGGTCGACACCCAGCTGTTGTAGTGTAGCTTGGTTTTATTTATGTCCACAAATATTTCCAAAAAATTACAAAATACTCGAATGGAGAGAGCACAGAAGTCACGATCTCTGGTGTCTACGCTGCTCACACTGTGTTAGCTCACGGCAAACTACTCATATGTACATTTAGCTTCAAGGTACAGACACGCGGCACGCCAGGACACACCTCGCTCTGCGGCCGCTGCATGAGACCTGAAGCGCAACCTTGACAACATGGAACGAGATACATACAAAACACAGAAAAGGAAAACCGAACTTCAAACAAAGGAAGGAAAACCCAGAAGGAAACCAAGGGGCCGGGCTTCAAAGACCCCGCAAAAGCCGGGCCCCTCCGCGGTAGCGGGCCAGGCGAGGGCCCCTGACTGGAGGGAGCTCAGTGCTTCACCACGGATGTGGGGGAACCAGGGCCTGACAGACACGCCTTCCACAGCTCTCAACAGACTTCAAAGCACTAACCTCCCTCTTCTTTGGAAAAATGGATGCTGGGGAGGAGATGAAGGGGCCTGACTGAACGGCAGGCCGTGTTCTACCAGAAGTAAAACGAGGGACGGGAGAAGGTGGGGCAGAGGCGGGAGGCTGGGGGCAGCGGGCGCCATGGACGGGCAGGCCCCCAGGAGAGCAGCGGCCAGAGAGCAGCCACCGCCCCCGAGGAACGCATGCCCCTGCCAACGCAGCCACAGGTCCGATGACAAAGGGTTCATTTGAGCTTGTCTCCCCTGTAAGGAGCTAAATTTAAGGCAGAAATGGAATGAAAGAAAACTAAAGAAAAAACTACAAACATTTTCAACAAATAAAACAATCCTCTATCTGTCCCAACTGAAAGCAAAGGCGGTTGAGCAGGGATGGGAAAGGCCCGAACCTGCGCTGACACCTGGTTGTCTGGTCCCAGCGCCAGCCTCCCTTCCTACCCACGGGGCTCGGGTCCTGGACGTACTTCACATCCCCTGGCCCACAGACATGCTCTCTTGTCTGACAATTCTTGGACGTGGCCACCACATGCCACGGCAGAAAAAGCCCTCAAGAATCTGAGGGACGAGGAAGGAAAAGGTCCCGCCTGGCAGGAACAGGTGCAGGCAGCCAGGCTCCCCCTCGGCCACGCAGAAGGCCGAGCCCCCAGCCGGCACCTCCCAGGGAAGCCCGCCTTCCCCTCCACGTGTGCGGCTGCCACTCCAGTTCCCACTTCGGGATGAAGGGTGGGACTCAACTGGTGTCCCAGTCGGACATGGTCACCAGGCTCCTGGTAGACACACAGGCTACCACCCACGGCCGTGCCACCTCCGGGGCCTCTCCCACCCGGACAGCAGCCCCGGGCTGTGGCGAGGACGGCCCGGCCTGGCGAGATCGCGTGGACACACGAAAGGGCAGACGGCTAACAGAGCCTCTGGCCAGCACACGTGCGGAGTTACTTGTAGGGAATCGTTCCGAGAATGTTATGCGGTTGTCAGAGTGAGAAGGGCAGTTCGGACAGAACAATCAAACACGTGCGCCTAGAACCCTGTCAGGAGATCTGCAACCACACACACAGAAACATGTGCTTTCTCTCCGGCAGACACAGGACGGTGGACATTTAACGCCTGCGCTCCTGGTGCAATGCCAGGAGGTCCGATCTGGCAGATGTCTGCACCGCTGGCCACGCACAAGCCAGGAACAGACAGAAGTGGAAAACCAAAGCAGCGAAACAAAAACCGCTGGCAACATTGTCCCTGCAAAACCCTGGATGCTCACTGCTGCGACCAAACCCGGGCCCAAGCTTTCGCCCATTTGTAATTAGTAACGCCCATCTGTCCCCTTTAATTAAAGGGATAATCATATATAACTTTTTATTAAAAAATCAACTCTGTATTCTGTCAATAGCCGATAGGAATTCACAATTAGTGACATGGCTGGAAAAAATAGATCGGAACAGTAGTTTGTGGAAGGAAAAAAAAGGCTGCTCTAAAATTATTTACAGACGTAAAAAGCCGTGCTGCAGAACTTTCTCAAATTATGAAGATTTCCAACAATGTAGTAAAATAAAAGATTCTTCAAAAATTATAGCTCTTGGATTCCAAACTCATATGCCACCTATATCTGCAACCCCGCGGGTTTTGGCACACATGTGACCGAGTGTGTCTGCACGCACAGTGAGGGGGTGACTGGGTTCTAGCACCTACTGAGAAGTCGAGGAAGGGAAGGAGACGAAAGCCGAACCCCAAGATTGCTGGGTAGTTTTCTGAATGTTCAGTCCAGTCCAGGACTCACTAAGTTTCTGGGGGACTGTCATGCAGGGAGACCCAAACCAGTCTCAAGGAATCCTCTCTACAAACACACACTATTATGCTGACACAGTTTTAGTTGTGGGCTTTTAAATATAGAAAGAAATCTTTAGAAGATATTCTTTTGCTTTTGCAGCTCCTATTGTATGTAAAAAGTCCTGTTTATCCCCCCAAGACTGGGGCTTCCACAGCCAGCGTTAACAATAAATAACTTATAACTGCTTGTCACCTTCTTTCTTCAGTCGACTGGAAAGAGAAGCAGAGGAGAGCGACTTCAGCCCCAGATGGGGGCTCCCAAGCAGTTGGCCTGCCCCGCCCCACCCCCCAAGAAGGCTCTATGGGGGCCCCCTCTAGGGCCACAGGTAGCCAGGGGAGGAGCCCGATGCCTGCTGATAGGGGAGGAGCATCGTGGGCACAGCCAGGAAGGGGGGCCCTCAGGCTGGGCCCGTGGCCGCGGGGGGGGGTGGGGGGGGGTGTAGGTGGGAGCCAGCCAGCCTGCCCCTCCCCAGGCCCCTCCCCACCTCACCTGTAATAATCTTCCTGACTTGGTAGGTGGCTGCCATGCATGTGGGGGTGTGCGTGCAGCCACTGCTGCTCCATGGCCAGTCTCTGCAGCTCAGCCGACTGGGCATGCATGGCCTGCAGCTGGTGGGCCGCTGACATGGGGGGTGGGATGGCCCCAGGCAGGTCTCGGGGGTAGGGGGTGCCTGCCAAACACAAAACAGTCTCCTGAACAGAGAGTCCAGGGGAATGGCCAAGACAAGGCCAAGGCCTGCAAGGAGACCAGGAGACCCCTGGGGGAGGGGTGCCTGAGTACTGCCCCTCCTCCCCCTGCTGAGTGGGCCTCAGCCTAGTGTTTCTTCTTCAGAGAGGCCCACCTTCCTGTCTCAGATTTAAATGTGGAGCCTTTGTTATTCCTTCATTCCGACTGTTCCCATCTGAGTTCCTGTGACACCCGTGCACCCCCACCCACTGAGGGGACATGTGTTGAACACATGAACCAACGAATGACCGGGCCCTCGGGCCAGACCACTAACCAGCTCCTCACCGGACCCCGCCTTCCCCGGTGCATTCTTACCAAACACTGGGTGACGAAGCATCTCGTGCTCATGGGGGGGCTGTCCAAGCAGAGGGTTGGGGAGGGTGCCAGGGGGATAGGGAAAGCGAGCCAGGTGAGGGCCAGCAGTCAGGGGGTCCACCAGCGGGTGCACGGGGCCTGCTGAACCTGGAAGAAGGGGCAGAAGTCCAGGCACAGGTGGGCGTAGGGCTCTCCGATGCTGCCCTCCCTGGCTGGAACCCAGGGCATCCTCCTCACCACCAGGACCCGTGACCTTGACCCAAAGTGACTGTCCTCGGCCTCCCCACTCGCCCGCAGTGGAGCTCCAGAAAGTGACACCCAGTGCAGAGCGGACTGAGCACCCGACAGGCTGGACCCTGGACCAGCAGAGCCCACCTGGCCGACCGCCCAGCCAGCTTTCCTCGTCCAGGCTGCCTGTACCCAGAGCCCGGAGGAGGCCAGCAGACTGCTGTGGGCAGGGGCGGGCTCAGCGCTGCGGGCTCTCCCTTCTGGTCATCGCTGGCTCCCTCGAGTTCTCCTTCTGCCTGGAGATGCTCTTTCCAGTGCCTCCCCCCTTTGCCCGCTTCCTTCTTGTAACGGCAGCATCGCCAACTGCCTTGTTCCCTCCCTGGTTCACTTTTCTCCAGACACTGACCCTTCCCACAGCCCAGGCTTGTCCACAGATGCCTCCCAGCCTGCGACAGTGGACGTGCACGGGCTTGGCCAGCACCTACAGCTGCGCCTGCACATCACAGGTGCTCGGCAAACACTTGGCCAATGAGTGTACGACGGCCTGCTTATCCTACAGCGCCAGGCGGCCTGCTGGTCACACTGCGGCTTAGAAGGCCCACACTGGGTGGCATGACACTTCCAGGTGTCAGGACCACAGGGCAAATGACAGCTCCTTGGCTTCCCTGGGCCCACCTGTCAGGGCTGGGAACACGGAGAGGAAGCCAGATGCAGCCCTCCCTCCCGTGTCCTGCTCTATCAGCCGTCCTCCTCCCTGGCATGGAGGTCAGTCCAGGAGGAAGTCCCTCCACCGCAGCCCTGGTCCCAGGGAGCAGGCACACCACCCACTCCAGAGCAGGGTCAGAGCACCCCCTCCCCACCTGCCTCAAACCAGCCTGCACCCCAAGCTGGCCAGGCAGATACTCACCCCCAGGGCGAGCAGGGCTGGGCAGCTCTGGCTGCTGAGCCGGAAGCCTAGGCCTCGTTCCCGAAGAGGGCAGGGAGACTACAGCCTGCCTTTCTGGGTGTCCCAGTGGCTCCAGCTGGCTCCCAAGGCCTTCCCTGTCCTCAGGCCCTGCCTCCTGCCCTAAACCTGCCCGGTGAGCACAGGCTGCTCCTCCTCCCGGGCCCACCCCGGCCCAGGGCCGAGAAGCTAAGCTTTATCCCGGAGGCGCAGGCAGAAGGGCGCAGGGTGGCGCAGCTTTCTGGGGACCTGCAGCTCTGCAGAGCTGGGGGCTGAGCAGACCCAGGCTGCCCCGAGTAGTGGCAGTGATTCCTCGGAGCTCACGGAATGCTCTACGCTGGACGTTCTAGGACCGGCCTGGAACTAGGGCTCGTTTAGAAAAGAACAGTCTCTGCTCTGGGCCGGCGGCTCCATCTCTGGGCCGCACCTCCTCACCCCAGAGCCAACCCACAGTGCCCTCTCAGCAGCCCGGGCACCTACCTTGGTGGAGGGGGTCCTGCTGGTGGAGGTGGAGGTGTGAGTGGATGTGTGAGTGCTGGTGATGGTGTGGAGTCACGTTGAACATCTGCAGTCGGGCCAGAGGGTCGCTGGTCAGCGATGCCATCCGCTCAGCGTGAATCCGCTCGGCTGCCAGTCTATCGGGGTAGCTCATCTCGGGCCGCAGCTGGGGGCCCGCCAGGGCCAGTCTCTCCCTCTCCAAGGGGTTCAGGCCCGGGTGGAACGAAGCAAAAGGGTGGGGGCCCGCAGTGGGGGGAATGGTGAGGGCGCTGTGCCGGGCGAAGTGCTCCATGGGGTTGGTGGCTGGGTGCAGGGGGTCCAGCTCGGGGGGCTTCACCTCGAAGCCCGGCTTCATCCTCTCCCGCAGCTCCCGCTCCCGGATCTCCCGCTCTCGGATCTCCCGCTCCCGGAGCTCCCGCTCCCGGATGGTGGGGTCGACGTTGTAGAGGCCGGGCATGTGGTAGGCCAGCAGCGGGTCAGTGGGGTTGAGGGGCATGTAGAAGGGGTGGTTGCGGTTGGTGGGCGACATGACGTGGGGCCGGGCGTACTCGCTCAGAGTCCGAAGGGCAGGGGTGTCCGGCCCGATGTACGGGGGCACAGCAGCAATGGTGGTTGGCGGTGGCTCGAAGGATGGCCGCATGTGGCTGGGACCACCGAGCTGGGGGTCGCTGAGGCGGCCCTCATGTGCCGAGCTGGACGCCTTCTGCTGAGGAAAGGGAGGGTGTGGGGGAGACCAGTTGCCTAGTGTCCTGGGGAGGTGAGCTCTGCCCTGTGGCCATCCTGCACTGACCAGTCAGCTTGGTCCCTCCACCCCAACACCGAGCGGCCTCAGCCACGGCCTGTGACAAGGACCTGGCCCAGACCCCCCGTGACGGTCTCCTCTGTGCCTGCAGCTTCCCTTGTGTCCTGAACGGGTTCATGTACCTGTGAGACAAGGCACTGCATGGGAGGGGTCCCCCCACAAGGGCAGGCGCTGGGTGGCCTAGCCCACGAGAGTGCCCAGCCAGGGCCGCCAGAGGGCGCGGATGAGGCAGGTCAACGCCCCAATGCCTGGCTCTCCCCACTTTCAGTTTCTCTGCAGTTCCCTCCAATTACATGTCTACAGGCTGCTGGTCAACCAGTCTGAACCTGCCAGGGCCAAGGAGGAGGTGCACGGTGAGCCTCTGGGGGAGGGAGGGGGTCCTGGGAAAGGAGGAGGTGCACGGTGAGCCTCTGGGGGAGGGGGTCCTGGGAAAGGAGGAGGTGAGCAGCAATCTCTGAAAAGGGGGTCCTGGGAAAGGAGGACTGGATCCTCCAGCTGCCATGACAGTAAAACAAACAGCCTCACACAGAGCAGGTGGCCAGTGTCCCCGG